CAGCACATTACAACTCCACGTTGACAGTCTGACCCCAGTGAGCAGATTTACAATGTGTAACCCTGTGACTGTTAGGAAGGGGGAAAAAAAGACGTTTTCCTGGCCACGCTCCTGACAGCAGGTGCTTTGGTCAGCCTTGGAGACTAATGGCTCTTTCACTATGAAGACTTCTGTTTGATCTCTTGGTGGTAGCTCTCATGACAAGTGATGATCCACAACACGAAGATCCCCACAGACAGAGCCGGCAGTGTTTCTGCTTCATGGCACAAATTGCAAATGCACACCTGAAAGTGGTCACAAAAGACTCTTTACTACAGACACTTGATGCATGTGTATGACCATGCTGTTTATGCTTCCTTATGCCCAGGTTACTTTGACCTAAATTCTGATTCCAGGCACGATAATGCTACAGTCACACGAGGGGAAATGGGGGTTTGAGACCACACCAGAATTACTGCAATAAACAGTAAATTTGCAGTCTTGTTTGTCTTTGGAATAGTTGCTTTGAAGATTGGGACCAGGTTCAACTGCAGTACTGCTGAGAATAATGGGAATGTCATTTGTTTTGGCAGATTAGATTAACAATTTCACTTGATTCTGCCATTGCAGAAAAAGTAAAATGTTTCACGTTTACCAACAACAGGAACTCACTAACAAACAGGTAACATCACAGTGGCTACACCAGTCTTTTATACACAGTCTAGGATTTCTTGGTACTACAGTCAAAAGTTATAAAATCTTTCCGTTAAAAATTCCCAAAAGATTGGTGGCAAATGAAATCAATCACGAAAACGTGGATAGAATGTGCTTTCCCTCACAGCAAGTTCCACTCCACCATCTGGCCTTTCTGTGTTGAGTTTGCATCCTCTCTCTGGCTCCATCCAACAGTCCAAAAGAGTTAGTGGGTTAAGTCTATGCGCGGCCATAGGTGTTAATGTGTTAATGGTTGTCTGTCTCTCTGTGTTACTCTTGCAACAGATTGGCCATCTGTCCACAGTGTACCCTGCTTCTCGCCCTGTGGTAGCAGGGATACTCTAGCCTGATAAGGATAGGTGGTAGAGAACAGATGGATGGAATGTGGATTCACAGAAAGTTACTACTGCAAGTCTATGACTGTGCTGTGCTAGAAATCATGAGTCACAACCATTGCTGGTTAACACTAAAATCTAACATTAGCCAAAGTATTTTTTTAAATTGCCGTGAACAGCCCCAAAAGAAAAAAACCCATAATTTAGTGGCATAACTGTGGAATTTAAAGAGAAAAAACAAAAAGAGAAAGTTACTATTTAAAATAATCCCTTAAATACCCTGTATGTCTCTGTGGAAAAGCCTTTGTTAATCACAGCCTTGATAGAATTAAGTGTCATCCTGTCGGATTAATGCTAAACTCACCATTTAGCTGTAGCACGCACAAACATGACCTGGCCTAATAGCAGCTGTTTCTGTGCTGTACTAGCTATGTAAGCCTAAAGCACTTGTGAGATCATCATGCAGACTTTCTTTAAAAAGGTAGAAAGTTTCAGTACTCCCGCTGAGGTGCACTGGTGGACACTGCGTCATGTCCCAGACATTACCCCCAGGGGAAGTCAGTGTATCAGAGCATGAAAAGAAGTGGAGGACGGATGATTTCTTTACTCCAGGTCTAAATCATTCCTCTCTTCCTTCTTCTCTAGACCCGTTCCCAGCATCTACCCTGCCGTCCCTCTGCCCGGCTTTCTCTCTCCACCTGGAAAAATAGCAGGCAGTGAAACGTGACACGGGGCAGCGGCTGGGGGGGGGGGGTCATGCCGGTCGCTGTGCTGTCCCACTAATGGAGATGGATGTGGGCTCAGAATTGTCTCCTGAACAGCCTCCACAACGAAGAGAGAGAGGGGGGGGATCCATTTCTACTGCACTTCCTCCTGGGCTACAGAACTCCCTTAATGAGAGGGGAGGGCTGAACACTCACGACTTGATTTGAGAGAAGGAAGGGGAGACCATGAGATGGAGACCTGCAGAGAGAATGGGACGGCTGAGAGAAAAGACATGTGGAGAGATAGAAAAGGCTGAGAGAAAATGGGCAGCGGGAGAATAAAGTAGAGGAATGACATGTTGACAACAGAGGAAGATAGATGATAAGACAGGAGGGAGAGAGGATTGAAGGACTAATGATATAAAGGTATAATGCAAAGAGAGAAAATGGCAAGATGAAGACTGACAGAGATAAATAGACCATGATTGCCGACAAATCACTTCTTTGCTATTATGCCTCCCGTAACTCCATCCTCGAAAAGTCTCCATCCCTGTCCTGGGTCCCTACATTTAGATTTCTTTGTCTTTTTTCATAGCTATCATAATAAGTACAAGTTTGAGTGCAGAGCTGAGGCTGGCAGAGGAAAATCCATAACAAAATAAAATTGTGGATGATAGGAGAGTGAGTGATGCTGCAATCGGAGAACAAGCCCAGTAACAAGCACTGAAAAAACTTAATACACAGGAGTTCCACAACAATTGTGTGTCTTTATGCACAAAAATCTTTAGGTGAGTAAACGGCCATGACCATACACACAACTGTGCAGGTCATAGTGTGTTTAAAACCTTGCATCCAGAGGTTAATACCTGTCATCTTCCTGGAGACCAACATATATTCTGCATTGTCTCTCAAATCAATCTTTTTTCTCAAATGCAGTCATGATAAATATTCTGTAGTCTGGACCCCGTTGCTACACTGAATGCTCTGCATATGCCGACCATCCGTGGATCCATCAGGCATGAGAGCAACTCATAAGAGGTGTGCATGTGCCAAAAGTTCAAACAGACCTGTCTTCTCTTTTTCTTTTTTTTCACATAAGGTGTGTGCAGTCCTAATACAGAAAGTGTGCTGCAGGTGTAACCACTAAAGAGATACATTTTGCCCCACATTCAGCATAGCCACTGTGATATAAGGCTTGTTTTTCCCAGTATATATGTGCCACTTATACCCTGTTCTCAGTAGCCAGTTTCACTGATTACAGAGTTGGAGCATCTGTTGCCAAATCATGGATGCACAGCTTCAGTCCATTTTAGCCTGGAGGCCAGCTGATAATTCCACTGCTTTCATCGTGACTGAGGTATCTCAATAACTGAAGACATTTTCCATCCCCAAAGGATGAATCCCAAATTCTTTGCTGATCCTGTAATTCTTCTTCTAGGGCCGCACTGGGGTCAGCATGTGCGGTTAGTGTGAAATGCCTCAAAAGTTATTGGATACTATCCCGTCCTGTAATTGAATTTGAACTTTGGTCCACATGATCACATCCCTACATATGGCTTATCATCTAGTTTCACATTCAAGTCAAAATGTTGGTTTGTTTCGACACTTTGCTAATTCATGATCAAATAGCAGCAAAACTAGGGCTCTTCCCACCAGCCTTAGGTTACTAATATGAACTCACAGACTAGCTGATATGGCTGTGGACTTTTTTTTTCTTGTCACTCAAAATAGGATAGTGAGTCACCATGATCACTTTTGTCCTTACTGATTTTTCATCACTTGTTTTTTATCCTTTTTACAATAGGTTCACACAAAGAGACCACAGGTAGGGGTTTAAATTTGTATCCCATGTCTCATCTAAATCCATGAATCCGTGCCCTGGCATCACATAGCTTTCTGCGCACTAGTAACATTGTAATAAGGCAATAAGTATAAAGCATTACCATGCCATGAAGGCAGCAGGTGTCTTATCTCTCACTACCATGTGGAGACACCTATTTCCAAAGTTGAATAATGCATGTTTAATAAAGAGAAACACAGTGATGTTGCTTGGGAAGAATGACCACACCAGACTTTTGAGGCCTCAGATGTCAGATGTATTTGTTTCATGTTTGCATCTAGGTTCAGAATACACATCAGTAATTTTTACCTACATCAAAAATTGCTACCCGCCTCCTGGTGTTGGCATACATGTATATTTGGAAAGATCTGAGAGTTAGCCTTGAAAGCAGTGGACTTTCACAGCATTACTTTGCCAGAGCCCTATCAGCCTCTGCATTCTGTCTGTGTGTGACTCACTTGAAAGCCCTTGATAAACACTGGAGGGCGGAAAGACTTTAAATGTAAGCTTTGCAATTTCTCTATTTTCTCTGCAAAGAAAGTAAGCAGGATTGACTTCCTGTTTGTTAACCATTGTCAGATTCTTGGATTTTGGAGTGTTTGAATAAAAACTGGGTGAAGTAGACGTGGAGACACCTGCATAAGCAAACACAGCAAATCTAAATCTTTGAAGGCTTTAACGATTCTGCAAGAAGCTATATTCTTTATTTAGACGTACAATCTTCTCTGCTTTCATCTACAACGCTACAGAGATTCCTCCCTAAGTTGTGCTCTTATAGTATTATAATAAAAAGAGAAAGATATTTGGACAACATTAGGTTGTGATTATCAAGATCTTCAACTGTCTTTTTCCATATTTAAACAAGAATTTTCATAATTATTTATTTAAAATGCGCTCACTTGTGGCATTGTCTACTAGACACATTTTTAAAGATGCCTGTTGTAAATCTACAATCTAAACACTGTCACTTTATTATATAGAAGTTGGAATATTGTTTTAAGTATGCCATAGGTAAAGGTATACTTAAGAAACAGCATCTTCATTTTTCCTTGATTTTATGACAGTTTTAAATGTTTTTCTAACAATTTTTAACCTTTGATCTTTTTTTCTGGAGGTGTAGTCATCAGTGTGTTACATCAGATTTAATGAATGATGACAGAAACTATTTGTATAATCCATTTCTAATATTTTCCATGAAAAAAAGTTAAATGAGTGAGAGGAACATGGTTTACCCAACCTTCCCTTATACAATAGCGCCATCTTGTGGATAAAAACCATAAAATCTGCTTTAGTTTTTCTTGTTATTTACATAAACCTCCCAAAAACTGCTTCTGAATTTTTATTTCACTCGATAAAATACCAATTTCTCTCTTCCATTCTCTGCTTTTATTATTGATCTTTGTTTCTGTTATTACTGAGACCCCTTTATTAGCGTGTATTATTACGGCCCTGTTTGATTTCGTATGCAAGTTGCTGTATGATCCTCCAGATTTGCTCCACGCGCTTTCTCTGTTCTGCCAGATCCCTCTTTATCTCCTCAAGCAGCTCCAGCTTTGAAAGTTTCCTGTGAATGGATGTAAACACTTCCTCTCCAGCTTCCCCAACAGCATTATCCTGCTCGGGCACGGCGTGGCTCGGTTCAGGCGGCTGACATGATCTCATGGCTTCTTCCCACACAATCTCAAAGTGCAAGTCAACGAAGGCTTCCAGTTCCTCCAGGCTGCTGTTGCCCCACTGATCAATGAATGTCTGCAGGCCTCCAGACTCAGAGACCCTCCTAAGAGTCCGCTCTATCAGTGCAGGATGGCAGAGTGATTGCACACTGATCAAATCTTGTTCTACACATGCCTCGTTCTGTGTCTGAGATGAAACCAGATGCGTTGTTTCAAGTCTGCGTGGGATGGGATCCATGTGACCCTCCCTGTTCACTCTCAGGTGGTTGTGAGGAGCAGGAGATGGGACATGCTGAGTCACTTTTGGCAACCTCAGTACTTGTTTGCCAGAAAGCGGAGAGAATATATAGGACATGAAGTGATATTGGTCCACAATGATGCATCCAGCCAACTCTGTGGTTCTTCCTGCTGGTAACGCTACTAACTGAGAACAATCTTCTGAGAGCTTTGGTGATCGATAGGGGAGAGATTCAGGCACTGTGAAGGAAATAATGACACTTGATGTGATTTCCTGTGAGCAACAAAAAGTCTTCACTATTAAGACTAGGGATGGGTACCGGTGTCCGGTGCCTTGATGGCACCGGTTCTGACATAAACGGTAGTAACCAGACCGAAAAGCAGCGCACATTTCGGTGCTTTATTTCGGTGCTTTTTTTTCCTGAGCTGTGATACACTTTAGATTCTAGCCAATCATTTTACGTTTCCGAGGATAGTAGGCGGGGCCAGGTACGTACGTTCTGTTAGAGCAGAGCTACAGATTAAAAATGTCCAAGGCGAAGCGGTCAAAAGTCTGGCTGTACTTCACTGCAAACTATGCAAACTCAGCAGCCTGCAACAAGTGCTTTAAGCTGATACCTCCTTTGACAGTATCACAGTAACACCTCAAATCCGATGAAACACCTGGCGACGCATAGCGGGTTTTTTTTAAAGCCCAGAAATGCGCCGTATTTGATAGCTTGCTGCGAGACCTCACACCGAGCACATCTACTGCGGGTGGGTTGCCTGTTATGCAACATCCCCCAAAAACACGAAGAGGAGAGTCCTGGCCCCTAGCCCTGCCAGTGTAGCAGAAATGATGACGGATGATGGTGGCAGCAGCCGTTCTTCTCTGCGTGAGTAGCTAATTTACGTTGAGTAGGCTAACCACGTTATTACATTAATGCATGTAAGGTGAACTAGCTAACATCATCATAGCTACATGCGGCTGTCTTCTTGTTTGATGGCAGATACTCCCTTCACCCTGGCCAAAAAGGCTAAAGTGACCAAAGAAAAAGTGGAAAACAGTTAAACATGAGAGGTTTAGGACAAAGTTTGTGTTTTTTCCATTGTTTAAGCACTGCTTCCAGCCAAGAGTGATACCATATATGCCCCATAGCTGCAGAAAAGGCTAACATTGTTATATTTTTACAAAAAACAGCTGAACATGAGAGGTTTTTGGACCAATTTTGTGTTCTCCATTCTTTAAGCACCGGTTTGAACACCGTTTGAGCACCGGCACCGTTTCAAAAGTACTGATTTGGCACCGGTATCGGATAAAACCTAAACGATACCCATCCCTAATTAAGACTATTATTTATTAACAGTATAAAACACATAGACCACATACTAAATGAGTCTTTCTTTGTGTTTTCCTCTGTGATGTTTATTATGTGCATTTTTTTTACTTTCTCTATTTAAATTAGCTCATAATGCTGTCTAATTTTCATTTTGTTAATAGTCTTTAAACCCATTGGCAAATTCAAAAGACATATAAAAGAAATAGTTTCATTAGGTTTACTCACAGTTATTGGACTGCTCAGATCTGCTGCGCATGAAATCCTCTGGTCCCCTTTTGCACAGTGGCTCTGTGCCTATCTGCTGCTCTTGAGCTGAAGCAAAACTTTTCCACATGTGATCACCTCTGTGAAGAAGAGCCTGCCTCTCATCAACCAGCATCTCTTCCATCACATCAATTAGCTCTTTAACCTGAGCTCCATCTCCCCAGTTCTTATTGTCTAAAACATGATATCTGTTCCCACACTTCTCAACAAGCCATTGCAGTGGCTCTCCTTCGCTTTCAATGTGCTGCTCGATGCTTGTGTCACCCAGCATGTCACCATAGCTGAACAGGACCATACATCTGCTCCATAACTGATCTCCACCTGCCTCCAGGTCTTTTTGCAAGGTTTTCCTCCAGGTATCTTTGAACGACGAGCTAAGATTGACAACCAGAAGTATAGCACAGGATGCCTTCAAGAAGTCCGATGTCACAGAGAGGCAGCCTGGTGTGTCTACTACCACCACCATCTTGCCACAGATATTTCCCTTCCTTTCAGTGCAGGAAGTACTTTGAGCAGCCGTGTCAAAGCAGTCTCTGCTGAGGATGGTGTTTCCACAGGAGCTTTTGCCTATTTTTGGGCCACCAATGAGCACGACTCTCAGCTCTGTCAAAGGTTCGAGGTTCTCTGGCAAACAGAAGTGTTATATATTTATTTATTTCTAAAAATCTAAACAGAAAGCCACCATGCTGCTAAATTAAATATTGTTAAAATGAGTAAAACAAGATCTTGTTGACTTTGTTAATTATCCAACTCACCCAGCTGAACTCTTGCCATCTGCCTTTGTTTCTTCTTCTTCATTAGCCTTTCTCTGGCTCTCTCTTTCTCTCTTCGCATCGTCCCCTCCAGCTGCTCCAACACTTTCCTCTCTAGTTTATAATAGCAGCCGTTGTCACTGCTAGTGATGATTTTCTCAATCTTTGCAATCAACTCCCTGACTTGAAATTCCTTATCTTTCATTTTACTGTTCAGAACATGATACTTGTTGTCACATCTTTCAACAATCCACCACAGAGCTTCTCCCTCACTCTCAATGTACTGCTCAATAGGCGTGTCTCCGAGCCAGTCCCCAAAACTAAACAGCAGGATAACGTGACTCCAGATGTGTTCACCGATCATATCTAGATGCTCCTGTGCTGCTCTTCTGCAGGTCTCTGTGAATGCTCTGTCCACACGGATCACCAGCAGAAATACGTGAGGTCCCGGAGGACAAAAATAAGAACTCAGCGCCAATTCCCCCCGATCAAAGTTGGAGCTCTCATCACAGAAGTAGTTCATCCACCACCCTGGTGTGTCCACCACAGTTACCAGTCTCCCAAGCACCATTTCTTGTCCAGCCTGGCAACAGACTGTCCTAATGGGTTTAGGGTTGTTCTCTCTTGCCAGGATAGTGTTGAGTGCTGAAGTCTTCCCAGAACCCTTAGCTCCAAGGAGCACAATCCTGATGTTAGTAACTCCCTTTGACTTATCTGAGAGAAGTAAAGAAGAACAAGGGTTGGTTAAGTAGATTGTGTTTATATTGACACAATAAACACACCTACACAGACACAATTTTAAGTGTATGTTCCAGATGACATTTGGGGTGGCGATGGTCAGCAAAGAAGCAGTCAAAGTAAGTGGAAGTTTCTTGGACATATACTTTGTAGCCAACACTGTTTTCTGCTGTAAGCGGCTATGGATTGAGCTTTCTGAACTTTCTAGTTTCATCACAGAATATATAAAGGACCTCTTTCTTAAAGCTCTCAGCTGTTTTGGAAGATTACTGGTACTATTACAGTTTTTTTCCTAATTACTAAAACACTTACAAATTCTGTGTACACTAATAGCTCACTATGACACACTGGGCAAAGGGATTCACTCGTGATGCACAATGCATAATGTGAGGCAGAAGAGAAACACAGCTAGCACTAAAATAAATGTTCACACTTGCTACTAATACAGCTTAACAGTTGAGTGTGAGTCCAGGAAAGGGAAGTTAAGGGTTGATGCCAACTATGGTTAGTAATGAACAGCAGGGTTATAGGTTTCAGGTGGTCAGCTGGAGCCTTTCTGTGTGGAGCTTGCACAGTCATCATGGCTTCCTCCCATAGACAAAAAATATGCTGCAAAGTTAACTCATGATTCTAAATTTGCCGTAGGGAAATTTTTATTTCGTGTGTTGTAACTTTTGTACAAGCGCAAGACAGCACACGAATTTGGAAAGACCTCGGTTACGGGTCGTGAACACTGTGTTCTGTTTTTTTAGTGTGTAATCAGTCCTCAGCACTTATGATTTTAGCTGGTTGTGTGATTTTAAGCACAGGCAAACAGTTTTGTTGAGAATGAGATTTTGAGGGTTATATAGGTTGTATCACAATTTAACAAACAAATAGAGGTAATTTGGAGTTGTTCAGTTGGAGAAATGACATCTGTGCATGGTGAGGTTTTGTTTTTTTGAAACTTCTGCTTCTTGTGGTTTTGAGTTTTGCAAAATGGTTACATGACATCTGCCAGTTGCGTCAGGGCAAAAACTGCCCGAAGGGTTTTCCAAAACACACAGTTTCAGTAAACTGGATTGCATGTTACTGTCAGGGTCTAGCTTTTGTGTTTTTGAGTTTTGTATTCTTGTTTAATATATTTAATTTTGTTTTTCTGTTTGGTCTTTATTTTTACTCTAGTGTTTAAAGATTATTTTTTTTGCACTTCTGTTTTATTATTCTTTGTCATTACCTAATGTTCTGTTACATGATGACTTTTAGTCTCAGAATTTAGTTCCCACTTTGACTTCATTGTTATCCCTTCTGCTACACCTGCAATGTTTCCCTTATTATCTGGTTTCAGTATTAATTACTTTTCTCTCCTGTCTTCCCTTTTCACTGTCATCTTGTTTAATGGGTCTTTTTGTCTCTGTGTTAGTACTTTGTCTTTTCATTACTTCCTCTTTCACTGAAGATTATTCTTACTTTCTGTTTTTCATCTTTTAAGATTTCAACAAATGTGTTAATAACTTTCACACATACATACGTACATACACATCAACTCACTTTGTATCAGAGATCTGTGTTTTTTCATTTTCTTTAACCTCAGCCGAGTCCTCTCCTCCATCTCTCTCTTTTCCTCTTCATTCACCCATAAAATTTTTGCCTCCATTTCAAACACACTGTTTCCATTTTCTGTGACAAGTTTCTGTATCTTTTCCAGCAGCACTGTGCGTTGAGAGTTATCACTCGGGACAACACTGTGACACCTCTGGCTGCACTTTTCACTGAGCCAGCAGAGGGCCTTTCCCCCACTTTCTACATACTCTTCTGAATTTGTGTCTTTGTACTTCTCAGCACAGGTGAAGACAACCATGCAGTGACTCCACACCGCGTCACCCAGCAGGGCCACGTGTTCCTCCAAAGCCTTCCGACGCTTTTCTGACAAGACAGAGGTTGCCTTAATTATTATAAGGAACACATGTGGGCCTGGCGAGCAGAGAGCAACGCTGGTTATGATCTCCATCTTCACCAGCTTAGGTGTGTTCTGAGCACTGGAGTCACACCACCAGCCAGGAGTGTTCACAACTGTGACCCGCAGTTCGGACACTTTCCCAATCCTCCTGGAGCATAAAGTCCTCTCTTCTGTGCCAAACTCTTCTTTACCCAGGATTAAGTTTCCTACAGCATTCTTTCCAGAGTCTCTGCCACCAAGAAGGACAATCTTTAACTGTGATGTACACCAACCATCCACTAAAGAAGAAAAATAGAAATACACATTAAGGAAAAGAGACAAGAATGAAAAGCTAATCCCAAAATCTTCTTTTTTTACTTGTTGATGAATTCCCATCCATGACATAAAATATCAAAAAGACTGAAATCAGAAATGCATGTATCTCAAACAACAAGAACAAGGCAGACTAATTTAAAAGTATTTTTGTTTATATCAGATCCCAAAACATGTTTTCACCCTGATAAAGATAAATCATTTCACACTCTACAACTAATTAGCCCCTTCTTGATAACTGTGCGGGAGTAAATTGTGATATCACGCATCCATTTTCTCTGTGATAGGGCCTTAAAGCAATGCTTTATTATGGGTGCGGCCACTTTGAATCACAGATGGGTGCAGTTTCCCCTGATTCAGCATTGCACTAAAAGACGCTTTAAAGATACTTCTTCTAAACAAAGAAGAAAGAAATTAACCAAGGATAAATGAAACAGCTATTAGAACATGAGGCAAGTATAAAAATGAGTAAATATGAAGCATGAAAGATTTATTAAAGCTTATATACCTTATGGCTGACTATGGTTTTTTTCATCATAGATTAATAGAAACATTTCAACACTGTATTACATAACAGCATTAAACTCCATGCTACTTATCAATGAAACTATAGTGAACAAAAATGAACAAAACAATGTGGAAACATCACTAATCAATCCATTGTGACCAATTTCTTTGTTAATGAAACATTATGAAATCATTTCATGACACTAATAATACAAAGTCTTTGGGTTTCAGACATAATTGTGTACGTTTTGTGGTGAACAAGGAGAATCATATATTAACACTTACATGTTGACAGATTGCTAGTTGCCATCTCCAAATCTGTGCTGTCTATAAGCCTGTAATGTATAAAACAATCATCATTTTCTCACGTCTACTCCATGTTTCCAGCCTTTGTGTGAAAAATGCAGACACTGAAGGAGTCATGGTAGTGTGTAGAGTCTGAAGGTCATCTGCAGTCAGCAATGAGACACGCCTGCCATAAACACTAATAACCATTTATCATTTACTCCACACAAACAAAAACTGTATTTTTTTCATAATACTCAGAGAGGTTTGGGGGTTAAAACATTTAATAAGTAATTTTGCAATCACGGGACATTACATTTTAAAAATAAAATAAAAAACTAACACCATAATCACACTCAATTTTTGGGATCCTGTAGTGTCGCCATGTAACTAAATGCCTTTATTCAAATTAACTGCAAATTTTAGGTTTTCCTGTTTCCTGCTTCTATTTATTCTTTTATTCGCCTGATGAGCGAATAAAATCAAATAAAATGTGCCGCCAAACCATGAAACAATAGCTAAAACTCTAATTAGCTTTCAAATAATTAATGTGTAACACTAACGTTGCACTTTTTTTATTTTCTTTTTTTCTGCACTTTAACAATGATATTTACTTGCAGTACTTCCGGTTAAGCCATTCAAAATAACCTAATTAGTTAAAGTTTAATGTTTTTAAAAATTAATTTAACATTTATTTCTTTTTAAAGAAAGAAATGTATTGTGTAGCTCTGTGCTCGGACTTCTCTCGACAGATCAGGTTTTTCTTGGTTTGTGGGGTAAATAAGCTCCGCCCCTCTTCCGGTTTGGTTTTACACAATCGGTGGTTACCAAAGCAGACGTTCGGAGCTCTGTGGTCATTAGAGGATCAGCGACGATGGGGGTCAAAGTCAGAGTGGAATATTGGTATTTTTTTTTCATATTACGTACTTTCTTTATATTTTCAGTTAACTTTTTGTCTGTTGTCAGTTTAAACACAGTTTCACTTTTGGCTAGCTCATAGCTAAGCTAGGTGCCTGCGCAGGCAGCAGCCTGAGCCAAGGAGCGCTGATTCTGCTTTTGCTTGTATGATTTTCTTACGCACCTGTGTTTTTATTTAATTTAGTGGTGGATGAGGTTACGAGCCCCGCTATCGTGAGCTCGCCCGTGTTGTCAAGGGTGAGTTTAGCGATGCGGACGTGACAGGTTTCGTGGGAAGAACCGGTAAGTCATCGTTGATCGCTGCAGGTAAAGCTGGAGCTGGAACTCATGGTTTGTTTCATATCAGATGAGACAAACCACGAGTTCATAGCTCCAGCCTTAAATTCCGCCCCTCCCTTTATTGTGAGCTTAGATCATCAAAGCGCCATTCTCACGTCCTATTTCTGCTGCCCTTGGTATTATAGGTAGCTTTGAGATTGAAATCAATGGGCAGCTGGTCTTCTCCAAGGTTGAAACTGGTGGATTCCCTTATGAGGATGACGTAAGTACTGTGCATACAATTTGCCTATCATATGTCAATTAGAAAAGAATAGCCCTTTATTGTCATTGTACACTTATACTGTGTATTTCTTGGCACAGGTCATGAACGCGATTCAAAATGCTTATGATGGCAAACCTTTGCAGAAGATCACCAAAAGCCGCGCTCCATGCGTCATCATGTAAACCTCCCTACTGCTACACAACCGTGCAGCTGTGGTTTACACACCCAGAAGAGAAGCACTAGCAGTAAACCAAACTCTGCTCTGCCTCATGGCTCCTCTCTCTGTTCCCATAGTGGTCCTCCGGGGTATTAATGATTACCGTTGCTTCAACTATTAAAGGTTATGGTATGATGTATCTGTCCCTGGAGTTCCCTCATCATAGGAGCAAAGACAGGGAGATGATGTTGCAGATGATATGGAGGGAATTCACCTTTTTGTCCTATTGCCTGTCATTTTCTACCCGACCAGTTGTGTTTTGTTTCTCACTGTAGGTTTGTTTGGTTTTTTTGTTGGAACAATACAAATGGAAATACATTATCTTTGCACCACACTATGCATAATAATTTGTCACTAAAGCATTTTTATGATATTTCATCATTTTCATAAAGTAGTAATTCACTCTGCTGGTTTTGAATAGATTTGCAT